TCATCTCCTAAGAGTGACAGTACCCGTTTTAAAAAAAAATTAGGAAAAATACTTAGGATTTGCAGGTGGGCATTCAAGTTGCCCGCATGAAGCATTGATTAGTAAAGACAAAAAAATATCTATATTACTTGACGTGCGCAATGAAGCTGCCGTGGTTTTTCATTAATTGATCACGTGGTCTTTGTGCTTTATGTTTGGCGACTTGTGGGACCCTTTGTTGATGAACTTTTATTAGGTCCGGTGTAAGGACGTGGAGAAACATTCAATCGGAGGCAAAATTCTGCCAAAAAACTCGGCATTTGCTCTGTATTACTAGGTATTATTTGATAATAATGAGGAATACCGCTCTGTGAAGATCAATACCGAGTTATACCGAGCAATACCGAGTTGTACCAAGTTTTTTCTAGGAAAAACTCGGTACAACTTTTGTATTGCTCGGTATAACTCGGTATTAGGTCTTCACGTGATGGTATTCCTCGTTATTGTTTGGTATTGCACGGTATTTGCTCGGTATTCTCGTTTTTTGGCGCGATTTGGCCTCCGACCGAACGTTCCTCTACGTCCGGTCGGAGGACGTAATAATTGTTCCTTTGTTGATAGGTTTTTATTAAGAAAAATAAAATATTTAATATTTATATTGAAATTAATATAATTTAAAATATATTATTTATTATTAATCTCAACATAAATTTAAAAAATTAATGTTCATTTTGATGAGTTTTATATCATACATAATTTTCTTTCCTTTTAAAAAGATTTTGAACCTTCATGCTTTGAGAAAATTATGGAGGTTTTTTTTTTTTTTTTTTTTTTTTTTTTTTTTTTTTTTTGGATTTTTTAATAAAAAAACATTTTTGTTTTTTTTTTTTTTTTAGTTTTTGTTGAGTTATTGTAATAGATAAACCTTTGGTAGTTTGATTTGTACAAATTGCAAATAATTTTTTTTTGGTGCAGATGACAATTTTTTTACTATTTTTTTACAATAATTGTATAGTATTGATACGTCATCACAAAATTAGCTTGATCGGGCACGAATCTCGAGGCAAAAGCTAGTTGGAGACTTCAAAGCTGCATTTGATGATACATAGTAGCTCTGTGTTTGTTGTCTGTGTGAATTAATTATTTGGAAGATTCAGTTCCGAACCAAATTCCAAAGCTAGATCCTGGTTAGTGCAGCCCCGTCGCGATCCAGCGCGGGCGGGATCCGTCTCGTCTCGGGTCGGGTCGTGACACAGTCCCTACGTCCTGCCAAAGACCTGACGTCTTGTTCAAGGCCCGACACTCAGTCCCTACTTCCTGCCAAAGACCCGACGTCTTGTTCAAGGCCCGACACTAAGTCCTTACGTCCTGCTGAAGACCCGACATCGTACTCAGGGTCCGACATCCAGTCCCTACGTCCTGCCGAAGACTCGACGTCTTACTTAAGTAATTGATTGTAATCTGTTCACCCCCGGAGGTGATCCAGTCCTTTGTAACCAACTCAAAATCTAGTGGAACCATTCTCAACTGGGCTAGGCCTCGTGGTTTTTTCCCTTTCAAGGGTTTTCCACGTAAAAATTTATTTGTGTTCTCTGTGTGTGCTAGTTATACGTACAACGCTAAGACGTAGGATCAAATCTCTATCGCCGCGTAATTTCTAGCCCGCAACAAGTATAGTTTTTTTTTTTTAAATAATAATCAAATGTTGTCCCTAAAAAAATCATAATTTTGTAAAATAACTTTTTAAATTTTGTAAAATGCAAATTATTCGTTTTATGGGTTGTCCGATGGGATCCTTGTGATGGATAACTAAAAATAGTTCAAATTGAAAATTTATAAATAAAATATTAATGAATTTAAGTATGCATGTGTATCACGATTCAAAGAATTTATAGAAGAATATATATTTTTTAAAATTTAGATACTACAACAAAAAGATTTTATCTCAATATATGGGGCTCTATGAAATTTTTTTCTCAATTGTGCCTTTTTAAAGGTCAAATTATCATTTAAATTTAATAAAGAAATATAATTTTTAATATTTTCTAATGGAGTAATAGTTATATAATTATAATTATTTTTCAAATGGTAGCTTTTTACACACAAAAAAAAAGAAAAATACATACTTGAAATCATAAAAGTATAGTCAATCGAGAAACGATCAAGCAGCTCAAAAAGAAGAATCCAAAAAGCTCAAGATTTCAGAATTCTGATATCATTAAGATACTAGATACTCGATAAATGATCTACGATCAAGGGAGTGGATTTATGCCGTCCATTCAAAACTCTCTATCTTTTCCTTATTTACTACTCATGTTACTCTACGAAAATTATAAATATACCCTTCATTCTTCATTGAAATGGGAGAGGAAGGGAGGGAAAGAAAAGATAAGAGGAAGAGAAATCTTAGATCTCTCTTGCCACCAAGTTCCCCCTCGACCATCGCTTCGCCACCGATAATTGCCTGATTTTTGCTGAACTTTCGCCTGACCATCAAATGTCGCCGAACTTTCACCTAACCACAGATTGTTGATGAACTACGATCTTTCCAATCTCCATTTTTGGGCGATTATAGTCCTTTTGACCATCGTAATCTGATTACGGTACTTTCGATCACCGTGGCCTAACTATGGCCTTTTTGACCTCTATTGCTCGCCAACTACGGTCTTTTCGACATTCGTTGCCCAATTACGGTCCTTTCAATCACTGTTGCCCGACTATTATCCTTCCTACATGCATCGCTCGCCGACTATAATCATGCCGACCAAACAAACATATCAACACTGATTCTTCTAACTCCCACAATGTAATGCATTATATATATATTTGCAACATCGAGCTAATGCCTTCCCCTCAAGGAAGTGCGTAATTTGTAATCAAAGGTAAATACTAGTGTATTCATTTAAACTGAGCAATAATGCCCCATGATTTTACCCCTTTTTAGGGGTTTTCACATAAAAACTATGGTATCTCTTATGAACGCTACACCCCAACTATTTATCTGTGTGTGTGATGGAACTTCTTATAAAGCTAGGACGCTAAATTTTTTATTTTTATATCGCCGCGAATGTTCCATTATGCAACATATCTTAATATGTAATATAAATTAAAAATATTTTTTATTAAATTATATAGTTTTATGTAAATTAAATTTAGATTAAAAATCAAATTCAAAAATTAAAAATATTTAAATTTAAAATTATTAGATTATATATCATGAGTGTAAATTCTTAAAATTATGAAGTATGGATTTTTAAAACTCTTATGTGAGATTTAAAAAATACATTTTTAAAGTAATTATGTAAGTTTTACATTTCATATTTTTTTTAATTTAATTTAATTTTTGGTCTCGTATTTGAAATGATAACATCATTAAAATGTTTTTTTTTTTAACAGAATTCCATTCAAATAAAACAACCGTTACAACATATGAAAACGCAGGAAAAAATAAAAAAAAATACAATAATACGAGAGCTCAGTAAGTGGTTGAAGCTTCCAGCGTCGCTTAAACCACACAAGGACCGTCCATGGTGACAAAAGCACTGGTTGTCACCAGCATAGTATCAACGACGCGAGCTCCAACCCATCATTGCTCAACACCCCACCAACCAACATGTCTCTCAGCAAAAAGATAGAGAATTCGAACCAGTAAACAAGGGGCAATCCAAAAATAAGAAACTATCTCCTACGCCGACCCCTACCACGGCCACAAAATCTTCCCCGAGAGCCAACATTGAAAGTGGTTCTAACATTAACTAGAGTAAAATCATTTCCCGGGTCCGAACCCCCACAAAAATCATTATAATGTTAATTTTACTAAATTCTAATAATATTATTATTTATCACGTCATCGAATTCGACCCTAATTCAACCGGTCAAACCGTGAACCTCTCTTTCTTCTAGTGTATTGTCTGATTCGATTTTCATAACCTTAAAAAATATTGTAATAAGTCGACTATTTCATGAGCGACTTGCTATAATACAAAGTTAATTTTATATTAAAAAAAATGCTATATCATTTCTTACTCACCTTTTTTATTTTACATTAATTCAATATTTACATCTACTGATACGTGAACATCTTTTGGACTCAGAAGAACTCAGTCTGCATTGTCATCATTCATCCTGTAGAACTATTATTCATTCCCCCACCCCTAAAAATAACTATTCTTTGTATTGTAATGTACTATGAGAAAAGTCAGGTTGCATTTACTCATACAACAAACCACTTGGTCACAGCTCATAGAAGTTTGAAACTCTTTTTAGAGAATTCGAACCGTTAAAATCTCTGTAAAAACCGTATTAATGTAATTTTCGATTTAGTATGTTTAAACAAATTTAAATTTAAAAATCATTGGTTTAACCGGCGATTATGTCTATTCTTAATTTGAAAACATACCTAGGCTTTGTTGGGGACGTTTTTTGTTGCTTTTTAAAACAGAGTGTACTAAAACTCTGTTTTAAGAAACAATAAAAGAATCGTACGAAATGAAGCCTTAATCACATAATTTATTTATCACGTATGCTTACTTTTAAAATTTTCCATATTTCAAAATCTGCCCACATCAACCCGCTTTATGATTACATCATTAGAGGCCTTAATTCTCAATCATAAGAAAATATAACCATTAATTACGCAGCTCTTAGGTCTTGGATTCGAAACTTTTATATGTGATATATGTATAAGTTTGTCTTATTTGACTTTAAAGTCCAAAAAAAAAACCATTAAAAGGAATTAATAGTGATAAGAAAATATATTTTACAGCTTGGCCACAGTTTTTATCCTACCATTGAAAAATAACCATTAACAGTAAATAATGATCAGAAAAGGAAAAAGTTCATCTTTATTTTCACTCAAATGGCCAAGTTTTTTGTGATCAATAAATTTAAATAGGATAATTGCATATTTACTATTTTACTGCCACCTAACTATATCAGATCGTGATTTAAGCAGCTATCAGTCTTTTCGCTCTCTCTGCAACTGTATAAATTTAACAACTTGCTCGCAACAAAAGCAAAAGCACACAGTTCTTCCATTTCCCTCTATATCAGAACTCTTCTGATCTGTTTCATCTTCTTTTGGGTTCTTTCTCCTTCAAATGGCTTGCCCGAATCAAATATCTCATGAAATTATTGATTCAGCAGGTGCTCATTTACCTTCTTCTCTTTTGTTAGAACCCATAGAATAATTTCTAATTTAGAAGGGATCTTTACTTGATTTGTTCTTCCCATTTTTTGTTGCATTTGCAATAGAAAACTTTCTTTCTGTTGGTTTTTCAGAAGAGAGCTTTGAGGCCTCACAGGCGGAGTTTTCAGAGGCAGAGATAGATCTTATTGTCAGAATATATAATCTTATTGGAGAGAGGTTTTGATCATAGCCTTATTTTGCTGTTTGAGAAATTTATTTCAATTCCGGTGAACAAGAACTACGTACGCTAATTTTAAATTATTATTTTTTATAATTCTATATACCATCTTCTGATAAATTTTCAGATGGTCATTGATTGCTGGAAGAATACCAGGAAGAACAGCTGAGGAGATCGAGAAGTACTGGAAATCAAAGCATGCAAGCAGCGCCTAAAAAAAATTTAGGTGGAGATATTTTTTAATAAGCAGCTCACTGATATTCAAGTAGGCGCCATCACAGCTTTTTCTCCTCATTCCCAGCTTTGGTTGTGCAGACTCTCTCCACGCCAAATCGCCATTAATGATCTGCAACAGCAGCCAGCACATCCTTACTGTTAGTTGATAGCCACTTTCTGCTGCATATTCAGAGTTTCTCTTCTACTCCTATATAAATATATACTAAGCTGTAGTTGTAATGTGCTGAATCGCTATATACTGATATATGATTATCTCTACTGCAGTCCGATGTAGTCTTCTTCTTCTCTGTTTTCTCCTGTTGTTGGTTTCTTGCAGTTAGTGCAGATTTTCTTCATTTTTCTCAGTTGTCATCAGAGGAGGGGTTATTTACTCAATGTTATTTGGATATAAGCGTTATTAAGATGTATGCGTTATTTAATTAATCAAATATACTAAAGTAAGTGTCATGGGTCAAATATTATATGTTTTTATATATGATGTTGTTGTATTTAAAGATAGCTAAATGATATTAAGTCTTGATTTCAATTGGCGTGTCTAGATGGAAAAACTATTTTGTGCGGATGCCGAAAGCCGTTCGGTGACCAACTTGATTGCGCCACGTCCGGCTTGGTAATGCTCGGTACTGCAACTCGGTACCGCTGACCTGGCGCATTTTCGTTGGTTTTTGGACAACGTTCTACATTCGGTCTCTGTACAAAATAATTTCTCGTCCAGATGACTTTGTTTTAATTAATACATAAATATTATGTTTTGAAAAAAAATTATGAGAGATCTATTCCATCTTTCTTAAAATTCAAAGCAAATCTGAGTTCAAATTAGTTTTGACATATATATATATATATATATTGGATAATGATTGGACGGCTTTCTTAATGCTTCTTAAAGCAATTTTCTAGTACAACAAATAACATTTTTATAATAGAAAGATGTTTTAAGAAGCAATAAGAAAGCTGTCTCAAATGAGCTTTCATTTGAGACAACTTTCTAGTAGCTTTATTTTTTAGACTGTAACTATAATTTCTGTTTGATCACTATTTTTTGTTGCTTTCAAAAAAATTTTGCAGTAGGAAGCTGCTTTATAAACAACTTCTAAAATCACTTTATCTATAACAAATTTATCAAATCGTAATCAAATTGTCCCAAATAAAACCTTAGTTGTGATTAAAAGAAAAAAATTTGGATCACAGTTAACAAATTAGATTTGACTCTAATTAAGCCCATATTGGGGCAACTATATTCAACCTTATTTTGATTGAGATCTGACCGAGTTACTTTAAATTAGTGTTAATCAAGAGTTGAATGTGCTAAGCCGTGAAATCTATTTTCTTGCACTACGAAGAATATTATTATTCAGAATATGACTTTGTTTGGGAAAACTTTCTTTCTTATTTCTAAAGCAATTTTTTAGTGCAAAATTTTACTGAACTCAAAATTTTGTACTAAAAAACAGCTTTAAAAAACAGTAAGGAAGCTGTCCTAAACAAAGCCTAAGTTATGAATCGATATTTATAAGTTTTTATATATTTTTTGTATTAATTATTGTTTTAAATTTTTTCCTCTATATTCAAATAAAATTGACATTTCGAACAATGATCTGCAAATGTTGGAGAAATATAAATACAAAATTCCCTAAAGCTTTACCAAACAAAGGGTGAGCTAATCTTCTTCATATTATGCTTCTTGAAAGTCAACATTTTTTATTCCTTAAGCCTCAATTTATTAGCTTTTGTTCACTTCTAATTTCCTTAAATTTGAATATAAAACTTCCTAAATATAATATTTTATGAGTTATTTTTTTTATGGAGAGTGAAGATTACAATTCATAAATAATTTTCAGAATTTCATCAATTGATTGGAAGTAAATAGACATCAAAATTTATTTCAAATTATAAAATTCTCCTTAAAATCTCACAAATTTTTAAAAATTATGAGATATATTATTATTTTTTAAAATATAATATCTAAGCAACCAAATGAGTCTAACCTATTGAAAAACATTGCAATTATCATAGCATTTACAAGCAAAGAAGAGCCTTTATTTAATAAATCAAACATCATTAAGGTTTTATTTGAGATAATTTCTTTTTATTTTTTAAAAGCAGCTTTTTAATTACAGATTTTTTTAAAACAAAAAAAAATGCTCATTTATGAAATTTATGAATTTTTTTTTGCATCTTAGAATATTCACAGTAATAGAGAAGTTTTTTATTATTTTGATATTAATTGAAAATATCAAATAAAAGTGTATAAACTAACATAAGCTCATTTAAGATTTTAAGAAAATAATATTAAATTTTAGAAAAGAAAAAAAAATTATAAGGTATGATTTAATTGAGATAATTCTCTTAATGTGAGTCGCATATTCCAGACGAAGCACTTTCTTATAATTATTAGACAAGGCATAAATTAATACAATATCATAGAGATAAGCTTTGGAAGATGAGTTTCAAGACGGAAGTGGGAAATTGGAGATGCTTTAGTTGCTATCAAGTGATGGTAGGCAGTTTTTTTTTTTTGAGAAAAGGTGAGTTTATTTTATTAAATAAAGGAGGATACAATAAAATCTAAACAAGAACAAAATAGGATTACACAGTCTAAATTAGTAATGAAGAGAAAGCAAACAGTGACAAAGGAGAGGAAGCTAGCCGGGCTGAGTAACCTACACAAAGCTCCCTGCAATCACCCAGATGCTAGCCTCGGACCATCCAGAGGAGGAAACAAACAAAAATCCACATAGAAGAAAGACAAGTTGAAGCACCACCAGTGGTTGCCAACAAGCTAAGGCTGCCCTGGTGGTGAAACAAACGAAATACAACCACATTCATAAAATCCAAACGCCAAACAACCAACAAAGTAACAGACAACGACCAACAAAGAAAAAGAAGGCCCTCAACAGTAGTAAAATAATCAAAATTACATCATTTTGGGTTTACGCCGCCAATGTTTGCCGCCTTCATGGGAGAAGGTCTTCTCAACAATGTGATTCACATTTAAATTTTCAATTCGTCCCCCTCACCTGCACCATGCGAGGACAGGTGCTCTTCAAGCTAATCGGTTTGGCTCACACAAGAATCATGCAAAGACAAGTCCATATGGGCTTTCTAATCCTCATTAGAAATAATAGAAACATGGATATCAATTGTTCCTTCAAAAATTATCAAGGAAGAAGTGGGCATAGTAGGTCCAACAACAGCATCAGGCATTCCACTAAATGAATCATTAACCACCACAGTGTTACCACAACACAACTCCATGTTAACCACCTCCATGTTAAGAGAGACAAAGGATCATTCACAACAACAACTAGAGAATCATAAGCCTCTTGCACGGTACAATCAGTGATAGTAACAACATGAGCAACTGCAACCAAACCATCAATATTAGCATTAACAACAACCAATTGACATTGACATCGACATCCAGATCATCAAAGGCCAAAACCACGGGCTCAGAAAAAAGCACAAGATCACTAATCGAAATAGTCGAAGGAGGAACCGTAACAACAACCACAGGTTCGAGCAGACCAAGTTGCCATCGTTACAAGAGTTTTCTAAATGACCCTCACCAACATCAACTACCTCATTGCATAAAGCCAAATCCACACTTCCATTGACCTGCCTAGAATTAAGCTCCACAATCGATGGAAAAACACCCTCTTTACCCACAATATAATTGGTACAGGGAATATTTGGAGGAATAGGATTCAGGGTGCTACAATCCATCTTTGAATGGACAAGTGATATAAATTGAGAACAATATGAAGGGAAATCTTCCATGACGATAGACTTAACATAACATGCAAGTTTTCAGGACCAACCCACAGCCGGTCAGGATAGCGTTTGGTGACATCCAACTCAACCATAACTCGAGATACCGACGACAGGGAACCACAAGCAGTGGCATGATCGATTTTAAGAGGTCAGTCAAAGAGGGTGCCTAAACCATGAAGGATACGTGGTGAAAAGATGTGATGTCAAATATTAGGAAAAAAAAATACCCAAATGAGAATTATGGGAGATTCCACCTCAATATCATACATAGGAGGCCATTTGAATATCTTTATAAAACAATTGTTCACAAAGTAAGACCAATGAGAAAACAACCTACAATAATCTAAATCATTAACCATCTTAATCAACACATGCTACATAATGAGAATAGTAACTGAGGTCTCACCAAAAAGCTTAAGATTAGAAAAAATTTTTGGAATAGCATCGAGAGAAGGCCAGTGAGACGATAATTTTCTTACTAAGGCAAACTCAAAAGTCACAACAAGAGCTAAAATTTAATCTTCCGAAATCCATAACGACAACATACCATGGTGAGAAAAAATTTTGAGGTCAGGGAAAGCTAAAGAATGAGAAACATTAGATAACACATCATTGAAAGAATGAAAGGAGCTCATCCCATTCAAAATATAGGATCGACGTGGCAGACAACCATAACCACAAAAACAATAGAAAACCGAAGGAAAATATAATTGAAACACCACAAAAGCCAGAGAAAAATGGGAAAAAGAAGTTCCCTGATGGTAGACCGGAGTTGGAGAGCAGGAGAGGACAATGAAGGAGGAGCACTGCTAAGGTGGAAGAAACCCTAATAGAGCGCCCATCGTTGATGCTTCTATTGACTATTATTATTATTATGACTTATGGTAGGCAGTTGTCTGACCACTTTCCCCATATTAGGGGAGATCGTACGATCAAGAAAATAGACATCAACAATTGACAGATTTTAGACCTTGGCAAAAATAAGGCAATTGTTGACTAATAATGTTTGGTGAGGGTTGGTGATTTGCTTGATTTTTATCCTTGTAGGAGGGAAGATTAGCTGAGTATTGGATGTCAAATGTAAGTCACTAGTGTGTATAGAGCAATGATTGTCGAGGAAGGTCAGAGATCAAGTGATGCCAATTTGTCAATTTAACTCAGTCCTTCTCTTTATAGCAGGAGATGAAATGACTCGGAAGACTGCCACCAAACATTGACAATCGAGTGACTTCAAGCAAAGTTTATGCGGAGCATTGACATTGGTTGACAATGCAAGTTACATTTGGTGGACAATCTACTTTACTGTTAGGCGACAACTGACTTCTACATTAATCGGCATTGACTATCGAGTGTTAGGTGTCAATCATTAGAGCTCATGATTTATCCAATTCCATTTTTTGTGCCATTGAGACACTCATTTTGATTCTAACTTTCTTATAATTTTTTCATGATCTTCATGCATATAATAATATTTCCGTTAATAAAGGAAGTAGCTTTGCATTTGTATCTACTCCTATTGAAGATTCTAGAAAGTCATTTTCTTGTACCAAAAACATCAACATGAACCAATACAATTTGTTCTTTTCCTTGAAAAAATAATTAAAAAAAAAAATTGGCGCAAAGTTAAATTTCCAAATGTAATTTGTTATAAAAGCTTAGGTTGATTTTTTTTAAGGAAAAATAAATGGGTCACTTTAATACTGTTGAGAGAGCACACTTTCTTCTAGATGATGAAATGGTCAAGTTCTAGATGACATTTTAAGCTTAAGAAAATTTAAAAAATAAATAAAAAGAAATAAATGTTTAATTGGAATATTTAGATAATCATTTGGAGGAATTATAAAAATAAAACTTTACTTAACGAAAATTTAGTGTTTTTTAAAGTAAAACAGACTAATCATATTCGTTTTGCCTTTTAACTTGATGGTAACAATTAATCACTCAATTAATTAACCTTAATTATTATAGAAAATTTGAATTTGAATGGCTAAGTGTAATAATTTTTATTTTTTTATTAAAAAATTATTTCAAGAAGTAGTAATAAAGCTATTTCAAACAAAATCTAAAAGATGAATTTATGATCTCATAATAAGTTCTATCAGAAACAATTTATAAACTGACCGAACCAAAATTTTTGATTAATTTTAGCTCAATCTCAATAAAAACATATCAGTTTTCATAAATTTTAATTTATGTAAAACGTCGTTAATAATTTATTGAAACATAAAACTATTCGAAAAAAAAAATCTAAAATTTTGTATGACAAACAATCTTACGCTCATTTAGCCTTGAAAGTTGCTATTTTTCAAAAAATTACAGCATCTAGAAGACGATCATTTCTACGTTGACTGGATGAGTCAAATTCAGATACCATTCCTTTGATTTCTGATGCTGTTATTCGCCACTTTTTGTCTCTTTGATGAATCTGTGAAAGCAACTAAAAGAATGCTTTTATTTGAAGTTTGAATCAATCAATAATTTTAAATATTCATTAGTGAGACAAAATTATCATCAAAAGTTCTATCACAACTAGAATGAGTCAACGACTCGCATCTACCTTTCATGTATCTAATAGATACTTGACATGTCGTGATAAGGAGAGATTATTGTGTGTGGACACTGGACGGGAGAGAACCATCCGGTTTTCTTCCTGCCTACAGTAAAAGCGCAGTCAACACGCTGTTACTGTAGCAGCTGCGCTTTGAGCGTTTTGGATATTTTGACCCTTTAAGCTTTATGTATTATTTGAGCACTTATACTACAATTCTTTTTAGTCTTCTATTCTCTGCATTCTCATACAAGTTCTCAGGTTGTTTTATCAAAGTTCGTCTACTAAGGTTGGGTGTTACCTACGAACAAATTTGGATATACAACCAACTGATTTTTTTTTTCTTTCATTTTGTTGAGTGATGATTAGTTAAAATGCTAAATTTATTTTGCTATGATAATGACTTCGTTTGGGATAACTTTTTTACTGTTTTATAAAACAAATTTTTTCTTTTTTATTTTTTAATATAAATACTTTATAAATTATAAATTTTTGTATTAAAAAAATACTTTAGAAAATAATAAGAAAGCTATTAAAAATGAAGATAATATTATATATAAATTTATCCATACAATTATCCTAAACAAATGGAAGTTATTTAATAGAAATTTCACCTCTTCTACCAATTAAGACTTCGTTAGGGATGACTTTTTTATTGCTTTTTAAAATAACTTTTTAGTATAAAAATTAAAAATTTTATACTACAAAATTTCTTTAAGAAATAATAAGAAGGCGGTCCTAAATGAAGCCTAAGATGCGGTAAAAGGCGAAGTCTATCGAATGGTTCTACTTAAAAGTCTAAATCAGAACCCTTGTGCCCCAACTCAAATTAGTAATTCATCCACTCATTAATAAATTCTTTTAATTTTATTTGATATATGTACAACTTAATGGTTGTTGGATTGGATAAGCTTCTTACTGATTCAAGTCATTTCACAATTGCTTGGATTTTGCTATTTGCTAATTCCACAATTTTTCAATCTCTTTAGTCCTTTACTCGAACTGTTTTTCTTCATGTACGTTTAGCTACATGGTTCATTGCTCTATGCTACTATAAGTAGGGGTGTCAATTTGGGTCAACGGGTCGG